GTTTGACCGGGCAGTCAAAGTCTGGGAGAAGGTCTCCGGCTGGAGCGAGACTCAGCAGACCGCGGTCAACGGGAACGGAGAGGGGAACGGCGGAAATGTGTCTCAATCACCCGCACCTGGACCCTCCGCCTCCAATTCACGATGGATTGAACGTGTAGTGCTCCACGAAGCGCGAGGAACGGTCAGAGCAGTCGAGTTTGCGCCTCAAAGCTTTGGTTTAAAACTGGTGAGCCATTCTCTGACCCGTTTTTTTCGTCCCTCACAGTTTCCAGGCCACCATCTCTTCAGACAGTCACCTCCGGATCTACGAATGCCTCGAACAGCCCTCACTGAAGACATGGCAGCTCTTAGAAGAGGCAGACGTCCAGGCCCTCCCGCTGAGCCCGTCTGCGTCACCGTTGACGCGCGCCCAGCAAACCAACGCGCTCGCCACACCCACGCAAACCAGCTCAAACACCGACGGCGCTTCCGCTTCCCTCGTCGCACAGGCGCTCCAGCAAGGACTCCAGCAGAGCGCCTCTGCGCAGGCGCGACCCGGGCTGGGCAACCGCGAGGCGGACGGCGGCTGGTGCATCTCGTGGTGCAAGGACCGTTATTGGGGCGAGATCATTGCTGCGGGGGTTGGCACCTCGGGTGTCGTCAAAGTGAGTGTAGTCAGTATACCGCCTGCTCCTCTGACGCTGACCACGGCATCCCAGATCATCCAGCTGTTGCCCTCTAACCGGCCGACCACGATCTTGTCGCTTGACCCCTCCCCCACTTCGGAGAGGGTTACGGGTGCGCCGATGAATCCAGAGACGGGAGACGCGGCTGCGTCGGCGATCACGTCGGTTGCGTGGGCTCCGACGTGCGGACGATCATACCATCTCATTGCGACCGGCGGGCGGGATGGGCATGTGCGCATCTGGCGTGTCAAGCCGGGCGAAGAGGCAGAGGACGACATGGCGGCGGACAGCGAGGAGGGGCAATGGACCGCTAGCATCGTCGCGGACTTTGAGCAACACAAGTGCGTCTTTGCTTTTGGCAGCACATTGATCTTTTACCCATTGCGGCGCAGGTCGGCGGTGGGGAGGGTGGAGTGGAATATTACGGGGTATGTGCTTGTGCGGCACCGATTTCTGAACACATGACAATCTTTCTTGTAGGACGGTGCTCTCGTCGGCAGGGAACGACGGTCGCATCCGGTTGTGGAAAGCCACTTCCGGACACGTGTGGCGGCCCGCGGGCAGCATCGGCGTCGAGCAATCAGACGAGGCCGACAACGAGCACCGTGCACCGAGGGACGTCATCATGGAGGCATGACGATCCAGAGCTGAGTTCGATAGGTAGCCGACTGTACTGGTTAGTAATAGCCCCGACCTCATATTGCCCCGCGCTACCTCGTTCACCACCAGTCCCCACGCTGTAGTCTTTCATCGCGTCGGCTAAATCGAGAAAGCGAGTCATGTTCGCGCTGACGGTGGCAAGGGACGTTGTCCTGAATAGAAGTCTCGCCGCGAAGAAACCAAACGCCAGTCGTGGGGCTTCCAGCAACACTTGGAGCGACTGGCGAGGCATGGTACCGGATTTTTTCCGACTTTCGATTCGAGTATCGATATTTGTTACTTATACACAAACCAGCTAGTTCAGCTAATGGACCAGCCATGGCCAGGTCAGATTCTGCACCACTAATCTGCGAATACCTGCAGTAAGTTTACATGGCTGTGGACTAAGCCAGTTTAAAAGCTGTAAAGCAGCAAAGCTGAGACTGTAACTTCACCGAAACAGCCTGGGGTTGTTGTTCTCAGGCTGACGCTAGGCTTGACTTCTACCACATCCATGGCACCGTACTCCCTACATCCGCCACCAGCGCGCTGGTCCTCTAGCTTCGACTCGCAGTTATCTCTACAGTCCGATCTGACTGTAAATCTATCAATCGCGCGAGTAATCTAGTGGTTAGCCTTTCCAAAACATGGAAACCCTTACATAATAATGGGTAGGCTGAATGGCCCCTGGTTCGAGCCTCATAAGTGGTCACTTATAATAATAATACCACGGAAGGACATTAAACCAGTGATAGGCACCACAGTACCGCGCGATACTCGGCCGGAAAAGAGCCGGGGAAGGAAGGAAGGAAATAATAACCGCCGCAATGGCAAACAACCTACAAAGGTTTTTTTTTTTTAGGCCGGGAGGGAGGTGTGTTCGCAACGTGGAAAGTGGATTATGTTCGCAACGTGGAGAGTGGATACGTACTAACGCCTGGGACCTTGTATCCTATCCTATCCCGAAACTAAAGTGAAATAACCGCTCAAACAACTTGAATTTGAAAGCACTGATCTTAATGTCCATCCGACAGTCAGGGTCACGTTGAGCAGTGTGCGGGCCTCGCGGTGCAAGAGATTTATTTCTACTCACCCAGCTCCCGCTTATATCCTAAGGCTGCAAGCAAAATGCATATTTGGGCAGTGTCCAAAAAAGGAAAAGTCAGGTGACCGTCGGTCAAACGTGGTCAAATTTGGTTCACCCTGTTCCGGCACCTCAACTCTCGATCACATAGTAGCTCGGCTTGGGATGTAGGGCGGCATTACCATCCCGATAATGCTATATTCTGCAGTTTCTCCGGGCGCCAGTTGAATTAACGATGTCCTGTTTGACAGATCGACATGAATCTGGGGTATATAAATTCAGGCTGGGGACGGTATCTTCTCATCCGTCCCAGTCCACCTCCAACATGGGCCGCCTCTCTTCCATTGCCATTGGTATATATTATGCTGCTCTTTGGTCAACCCTGGTTCCCCGGGCTGCAGCGGTGTTGCCGTCTGGAGTGTTCTTCCCGCTATTCATTGATCCCAAGGATGACTGCTCCGGATGGCCTGACTCCATAGGATTTGGGTACAGTGTTTCCACATGTTACCACTGTATCTGCATTCTGACGGCGCCAACAGCAGCGGCCTCGTTCCGTTCTTCGTCGCCATCAACCCAGCCGATGGTCCCGGCGGCAGCCCCGGCTCGCAACCTGCGTCCAAGTTCCAGACTTGCATTCCCACTCTCAACCGCAGCACATCGTCCGTCCCTGGCACCACATTCACAATGGGGTACGTCAACACCAAACACGGCAAACGCGCCTCCAAGAAAGTTCTTCAAGATATCGACACCTACGCGGAGTGGAACGCGCCGTATAGACCGATGGGAATTTATTTTGATAAGACGCCTTCTGATGCAGCTTCGGCTGGGTTGATAGGGCAATATGCACAGCACGTCAGAGACAGGTTCGGAGTTGGGAGTATTGTGAGCCGTTTCCGATAGGACTCCGCGAATGCATGTCTTGACTGGCTCAACTCCTTCCCGTGGCAGGTTTCCCTCAATCCTGGCACACTTCCTTCCCCTGAATACTTCGTCTTCTCCGACCACATCGTCACCGTCAACACATTTTTCACCAGTTTCAGGTAGTCCCTACTTATTAATCTGTTCAATCATAACATTCCTCACATGTGCGCAGTACCAGCAACCTGACCGTCTCCGACCAAACTCCCGCCGCGAAGCAGGTCGTGATCCTCCACGACCAGCCGCGTCCCGTCGATTTCGGGCAAATGGAAACGCTCGTGGACGCGTTATCCGGGATCGTCCGCGTCCACGGGATGTTGATCACGAATTCCACCAAGCGCGAGGAGTTCACGACCATACCGGCGAATCTCGGTGAACTAACTGGAGATTTGATAGGTGTGTGGTTTTACACTGACATCTTTGAGGAACTTTATATGTGTATAGGATCTCAAACCGCTTGACATCGAAACCCGACTCTCTCGTCGCGGATGCGTGAATGTTTCATTGTATATTATAAAACTTAAGAATGCAGTGTATATTGTATCTGCTTCATTTCCGGCTCCCCAGTTCTCATGAGTCTGCGAGTCAAGATCAGTGATAATACTTATGTAAGAGCAGTTCAACTTTTGGATCATCCAAACCCATACATGATCGATCATCAGCGCCCAGTTTTCACCCGCGCGCGCCAAGCCGTCGAAGATGCGTCTCCCTTTGAGGAGATCGAGCCCGCCAGCAGCTCGAGCTCGGCCGCGCCAAGGCTGTCAAGTTTGCAGCACTGCGCATGTAACTGCCGTCCACGTCGCTCGGCATCTCGTGGCGCTCCACGGCTGGCGAGAGAGGCGGGATAGATCCAGAAATCCGGGTAAGTTCGATGCCCTGGGCTCGGTTGCTTCGTTACTTACACTTGACGGTCTTCGCTTTTATCAGGGAGTGATTCCGCTGACTCTTCGACTGCGGGGTAGGAGGGATCCCTGTAATTCCAGGCATATCGGTTGCATCGTCTTGAAGCAACATGGTGCGGTTGGCTTCACCGTACGACGTGGTGGTACGATCGCGTACCGACACCCAGATCCTGCGCGCTGCGACGGAACGCCTGCGTCGCTTCATCGACCGTAAAGATTCCAGGGTTAAAATACACGTCCCTCAGGCTGACCTCGGCGAACTCATCATCCTCATCATGCTGGTCATCTGGATTCTGCCGCCCACCTGTTGGGAACGGCCCGCCTATCAAGTGGTCGAGCCTGGCGGGGCCGTTTTTAGAGGAGGCCATCGTTCGGAACGTGCGGTGGGTGTTGAGGGACGCGCCGCATCTCGAGGTCCTAGGGTCCGAGCGACTGTCCACTTGCCTGAGCTGTCCGCGGAGCTCACTCGATACGACAACGACCGCGTGCGAAAAAAGAAATTGTCCGAGAAACTCTTCAGGTCCAAGACCAGTCTTGGTCTCATCATGTTCCAAATCACCTTCCTCGGTTTGTTCTTCCGGGCATATTATACGGATCTGATATCACGCCCTTGGATGACAATTACGGGTTCAGGCTGGAGTTGGGCTGGAGAAGGAGCTTCCAAAAAGGAGCCTGAGCAGCTAGCTGCAGGCGCAGCGCCAACGGCAATGCTTGAAATTCTATATTCTCATTGCTATTACAGTAAATTGCAAGGGCAGACCAAAAAAATTCACAACAATCCAAACTTCGATAGTCTTGGTCTAGGAGTCGAACCCAGCTTTCGCGCATTCTGTCAATGCCAAATGACAAGCGTGTGTACTAAACCGATATACTAGTCAAGACTGATTGCATTACTGCCACAAGGATTTATGTCATGGGCATGCACCCGATGCGCGTACTTGTCAGAGTGACAGTGCGTAGATAAAATGTACATTCCAAGGTTCAAAACAGAAAGTTGCCACTCGTGGCGCCAGATTTTGTAGGCACGCACCGCATTGTTAACGTTCCTGGTACCGACACTGGCAATCAATCGGTGAGTTTGTAATTCCGCCTGAATGCCGGTACACGCTTGAAATATCTGTACATAAATTTCAAGGTCTGTACTTTACTCTGATGATGAAATTCGCACTCATGTTTGTACAATATTGGTTCAACTTTTTTGTTTTCATGTAATAGTATATGCATGGTGACTATGTATGTGTGCGGGAACGTGTATGGGCGCGGCGAGAGGCGGTGAGAGACGGCGCGCGCAGACGCGTAACGATAGTCGCAGCCAGATCGGCGATCGCGCGCGCGGCACATGTACAGCGGCGTCACGTCAGTGAAATCCCGCTGGCGCGACCGTGACCGTGCCGACTGCCGACTCTGGCGGCTGCGCGGTCACAGTACGCGCTGGGAGATTCGCGCGGCGCGGGGACAATAGCGGGAGCCTGGGAGAAGCGGAGGGTGCGTCTTCCGCAGCCTTCCGAGTCGACGGCAAGCCTCAAGGGCCCAGGCGCGCGTGCAACGCAACGGGTCATGTTCCCTTCAAGTCCTCGCGGAATACCCCCGTGCGACGATTCGTGGACAGGAGCAAGAATATGAGGAGCGTGTCAATGTGGCCGTGGCCGTGGCACTCAAGGTGGCACTGGTCGTCAACTTGAAGTGGGAAACAAACAAGAAGCAAAAGGCACCGGGGATAGTTTAGGATCTGCAGCGCGCGCTGCCAGTCAGGTTGCAGGTCTGGTTCGGCGCTACTTTGCGTTTTCTGCGTTAATTCAGGTCGATGGTTAGCCCGACAGATGGTAAGTAAGTAAGTTCTGAGCTGTATCACGTGGCAACCGATCAAGCCAATGCCAGAGATAAGATAAGGATGCTGTGGAAACATGTATGTGTGTGGGGATAAAAATACAAGTGAGTCAGTGAGTGCAGTGTATGTGCGGGCATGCGTAGAGCGTGGTGAGAGCGCGAAAACTTGAAAGCTGGTCTATGTCACGCGCGGCCCGGCCGCGCGGCGGTGTATACCGCACCCGGGTGGGACGGAGGGGTATGCCATTGCGCGCGCGCGTACCCTTGCACGTACCCGTACCCAGACGCCGACCGCGGCGGGGGCGCGGTGAGGCGGCTGAGGCGCGCGAGCACGTTGCGCGCGAGGAACACGGTGTCGTCGTCGTCGCAGGCGGCGGCGGCGTCGCCCGGGGGAATGCGCTCGAGGATGTGCACGTCGGCGGGGTGCAGCGTGCGCGCCTCGAGGAAGCGGAAGATGTGGATGAATTCGTGTCTGCGGGTGTGTGAGGCGGGTCTTTCCGGAAGAGGTGTGGAGCAGGGGCAGGGGAGGAAGAAGCGGCTCAAGATTGTGCAGTCGGGGCAGGGGTGAAGCGGACAAAGGTCAAGGAGCGCAGACGCACCAGAACAGCAGGTGGGTGAAAGAAGGAGGCATTGACAAAAAGGGATACAAAGAGGCGACGAATGGAACAAAGGCAGCAGGACCCACCTGAATATCTTTACATCGAGCGTGGTGAGTGCGGAGGCGGGGGTCGCGGCGGAGACTGCATGCGCAACGTTAGGCCGAAGGACAAAAAGGCACAAAGCAGACGCACCCTGGACGAGGCGGATCGCGCCGTTGACGCGCGCGATGGCAAACCAGTCGTCTTCCGAGAGTGGTGGGGCGGACTCGAGGTCTGCGGTGGGGGGAGGAAGCGGGGGGCATGCGAGCTTGGCGGACATGGTGAGGCGTGTGCTTTGCAATTGGTTTGTCCGGAGGGGGGTATTTATACGTCTCCGAAGTGTCGGTGAGGTTCGTGCGAGGCCAGCCAGGTTATGGGACAGATGCTGTTTATGGCCGTCATCGGTGACCCTCCGAATGCCGTTGGCGACGCGCTCCAGCATGAGGGTCACCGCAGGAATCACTCCGAATGGGGTTATCTCTGATAGCAGTGCGCCGGAGCAGGACCCCGAATAATGGGCCAAGAACCCATTACAAATTCGGGCAAAATTTGCCCAATTTTGGCCAAACAGCCACTTCAGAATTCGGGCATCCTGGCCCGCCGCAAGCGAAGCCATTACAGAATTCGGGCATTTGGACCGCCAGGGAGTGTCACAGGAGGCTAGACCAGTGACTGTCTGTCTACGGTCGGCGGGAAGTGCGCGGTTCGATTTAGTTTTTGATCAGAGCCACATGTGTGACACAATGTGACTATTGTGCTCTCGCCTCCGCCATCGCTAGTCCAATGCCCCGAACCCCCGCCTTTCCCGCGAGCGTCGCGCGCATGCCGTCCACCTGGACGGCATGGTAGGGCAGCCTATGCAGAAAGGTCATAGCCAATGTAAGTCATGCGGAAAGTGGATGAATGAGCCCGATGGAATATTTCTACAACTATCTGAAATTTATGTAGATACATGAAATTCATTCACATGGATTCAATCAACTTGGTCAAAGATAAAATCAAACAATGAACATGTCGACTTGGTCAATGACTTTCATGCGTAAAACCCATCGAATTTTGTGTGAATTCCAGCCGATTTGAAACCCACAGTGCCGGCGCGAGACACACTTCAAGGCTTTTGGTCCTGCACCATTCTATGAAAAAAAAGAAAATCGAGATTATTTCATTGTCATTCTGACCCAGAAGCTCCTAGGAAAAAAATTGAGTTGCAGCATATATGGAACAGGTTTTCTCTATGTAGAAATGCTCGCATGGCACAGTGGTAAGTTCTTCAGTTAAGACAGTAAGTTCTCGTGAGGTAGTTGGTTCAAATCCTACAAGTGGTAAGTACTACTTAAAGCATCACAGCAAGTGAAGTGGTTGAGTAAGAAAATGAAGTGGGTGGTGGTGAAAAAGAAAAGGGCCGATTTTTTCAAATTCCCCCCTTCAAATTCCTTGGGTCAGTCAGGCCCTATCATGCCCAATCATGCCTGACCAGCCTCCCAGACTGGGTCAGGCCTGACAAGCCTGATCAGCGTCTGACCAGCATCTGATTCGGAATTTATCAAGGATATCAGATCCCATAAGGCTGATGGTCTTGTCAGGTCTGATCCGGCCAAGTCAGACCCGATTTGCTTCAAAAGAAATTTGCGACACAGGGGACGTACGTTGCCGCGGGGGCGCGCGAGCACGACCATGCGCCGCAAGCATGCTCGTCCCGCTGATCTCGCCGAATCCGTGCGCGGAGACCGTGTCGTCGAGGTAGTTCCGCAGCAGGGCGGCGAGCCGCACGCGCCGTCGACGATCTCCTTGATCCACCGCTAGGCAATGCCCGAACCCCCGCCTTTCCCGAACACGCCGCCGTCGCCGACTGTCCTCCCGCGGGCCCCTCGTCCGAGCCCAGTGCACGCCCGGCCGCGGACCTTTTCACGCCACTTCTCGGTGCTGGCCAGCGCCGGCCTCGTCCTGCTTGTCCTTGCCGTCAGATACGTTGACGTCAGACAGCGCATGGTCACCTCGTGCTCTGAGTTCGCTCTTGCGTCGTCGTTTTCTTTGTGGGCACGCGCTACAAGCAGCGCCGCGCCACGGCTGGGCCTGCCCCAATAATGATGAGCCAGCCTGGCGGGTGGCGCTCACCGTTCGCTGGTGAAGACGACTCCTTCGTGGCCGGGGCGGGCGCTGGCGCTGGCGAAGAATACGAGGAGCGTTCGAGTGCGGATGCCGGAGACTCGCTTGAACATGCGTCGTCGGAGCATGGGCACACGGCCCGCTTCGTGCTGTGGGACCCCGCCGTCCTGCAGCGGCGGCCGAGCTCCCTGCTCAACCCGCGCTCACCGCCACCCCCGCCGGTGCCGACGCTCGTTCTGCCACCGTCGCCGACGCTACAGGACTGGCCGTCTGCGGACAGTGGGGCGGCAGCGGTGCTACCCGCCTTTGTGCTCTCGGACGGGCTCGGGGCGCCGGAGGGCTTGCTGGGGCCGACACACTCGACGCGTACGCTGGGCGACCACGTCGACTATTCGCGGCCGATCGCCTACGCGATGATGAGATTTGCCTGTCCTCCCGCTTCATCGTTTTCGTTTTTCGTTTTCTCTTGGTCGCTGACTGCTGTTTTCTGCCGTCCAGCGCCCGGGATTCGGGATGCGGGCGAACAGCGGGACCACTTGGGCGTTGAGCACGAGTTTAGAGGTCGCGGTCGACCAGGAAAACTATCCTGCGCTCACACTTGCCTGGGTGGCTGGTTGGATGGGTCGACTCCCCATGCCGCATACACACCGGGTGGTGCGAATTTATGGCAACGCGCACACGGCCCACTGCGCTCACCGCTGCCTCGCGCGCGCCGCCGCCGCCGCCGTCGTGCGCGCTCCTGCCGTGCGGGGCGGGCACGGCGCGAGGTGCGCTCAACCTTGCCATGGAGCGCGTCGAGGACATCTTCGACGATCTGCGCGCGTCGTGCGGGATGCCGCCGTGCGACATCTACAACGACGGGACCGGCGCGGACGTGGACGCGCAGCCGCACGACTTGCGGGCGCTCGAGAGCGCGTTCGGCGGGCTTGGGTTCGTGCCGGTGCAGGACGTCGCGCCTGGGTTCGTGAGCGCACGACGAGTCGGATGAGAACGAAGACGAGGAAGATGGGGGCTGTGTGGACTCCGACGCTGATGCCGTTGCGCTTGCGGCCGCCGTGTTGACCCCGCGCCGCAGCGCTCGTGTGCCCAAACTCAAGGCGACCGACGCCCCTCCCGCGCGCACTTCAAAGCCCAAGGTCGCCGCGTCGAAGTCCAAGGGCGCCGCCTCGCGCGCCGCGGGCCCCGTTCGCAATTCTCCATCGTCGAGGCGCGTGGCGGTACGCGCCGCGGCCAGCCCGATCCGCCGCAAACGCACACAGACGCAGCAAGACACCTCGTCCAAATCCGCGCCCGTCCCCGCCGCCGCGGTT